TACGTATTACATAAGGAGTTCCAGGCCAGACAGTGTTAGAAAGCGAGACTGTGTCTCAAAACAGACTCACTCCATAAATCTCTACTTAATAAACTTTAAGGCTAAGCAAATGATTTAATATTGACCTTACAACTATTCCTTTATGTCTGCATTATAAAGACAGTTGCAATTGTGCATGTCTATAAGTCAGTGGGTTTTAAGGCAAGAAATAAGGCAGACAGAAGAACCCCCAGAATTATTCTGTGACTTTTACATCCAAACCATGACAACATATCTTTCTACACATAAATGAGAACATACATACAGTCATAAGTACATAGATAATACAATTACAATTGGATATGCAGCACATACCTTTTATTCTAATACTAGGGTGGCAGAGGCAGGCAGAGTTTAGGGCCAGCCTCACCCACATTCTGAGTTCAAGGACAGCCAGAGATACAAAGAGAGGCCCTGTCTCAAAATAAAGTTCAAACTCTGATTTATATTGACTGATCCTGAAAATCCTTTTCCAAAAAGTACTAACGTGTCCCAGCTTAACCTCAGCAGAGGTCCCAAGATTCAGGACAATATCTTTTAAAGTCATTTCAGACATCAAACACTGGTCCCTGTCAAATCATTCTCAGAAATGAATATAGCCAAGTATGATAGCAGAGCCATGCAAATCTTGAATTCAAGACAGTTTGGTCCTCATAGTAAATATGATAGTAAGACATTTCTCAATAACACACATACAAATATAGTTGAATATAGTTTTTCTTTGTTGTTTTAGACAACATCTCACTAGAAAGCTATAGCTAGCCTAACACTCACACTTTATAATTTAATTAATACTTTATACTGAATATTTTACAACAAATTCATTCTATACCATTGGCTCAATTTTCAAAGCCTGACAGTTTTCTATATGAGCGGGAGCTTCCAAGCAATTGCCTTTATATTTACATAAATGTCAAAGAACCGAAGTGAGAAAAATTTTATGTTGTTTACATTCTTGGTTTTTTTTTTTTTTTTTTTTGCTACATCCAATCATTCTACAAAAATCACTATCAATCTTTTCTTGTTTTTTTATAATTTAGAAATATTATAAGTAGTTTATTTATAAACTGAGGCATGTGTATATTTTGTTTAAATGCTAAGACTTCAACTGTGGAAGCTGAACAATACCTATTAAAGTAAATATAACAGCTACCAGTAACCTAATAAATATTAAGAATGTTTTTCTAAAATTGTTAGAAAATTTCCAAGTATTATATTGAAACTTCAAGTACCACTCTACTTTTAATTTTACTGGGATCAAAAAATAAAAGATGGTTTTTGATACTCGATTATAGTATTAATTGTTGTGCTATCAACACATTGAGTTAAATAGCTATTATTGTATATTACATGAAATAAAGAATGACTATAGTGGATTACTAGGTTTTAATAAAACATGAGGAGCAACTATACATGCCTTTACATACTATGATTCTATAAGAAGTAAACTTAGCAGTGTTTTTCACAATATTTCATCTCAAAAGAGTAATGAATCATGCCTTAGGTAGTAACTCTATTGCTATGAAGAGACACCATGGCATGGCAACCCTTATAAAAAACATTTAATTCGGGTGGCTTATATTTTCAGAGGTTTAGCCCAATAACTTCATGGTTCAACATGGTGTCATGCAGGCAGACATGGTGCTGGAGAAGGACCAGAGCATTGTACATTTTGACCTACAGACGACAGGAAGTGGTTTGGAACATTGGACATGGCTTGAGCATATATGAGACCTCAAAGCCCATCACCCCAGTAACACACTTCCTCCAACAAAGCCACACCTCCCAATAGTGCCACTCCCTACGACCTTATTGGGGCCATTGCATCCAGATTACCAAAAGTACTAGGTATTAATGTTCACAAGGAAGTATGGGATGTCCTCCTAAGTGAGGGAACACTGAACCCATATAATAGAGAAAGACTAAAGGTATAAGTTTGTTTCCACAGCATAATTTATTAGATCAGGAAATGTTTGACAGGACATGCCTAAGACCCCATGACATATTACATGAAGTATTCAGTTTACATTTAACCCAATGTGGGAATGAGAACAATGTTGCTCCTTGTCCTGAACTAGGACAATTCTGTAAAACCAGTTATGTTTTTTGAGATGCCTGTGTTGCTAACTTTTTCCTTCCAATAATGTATAAAGGTTAAACATGTATTCCTCCCATTTTTCTCCTGGTGTAATGAAAAACTATAACATTATTAATTCTAAGGCATCCTGGTGTATTATTTGTTATTCATGGTCAAATGTATATGAAGTATATGTGAATCAGAAGCCTAACTGTTATAAGCATAGTGAAAAATGTCTTTTAGACACGAAAATTAACTTAGTCATTAACACCACTATTCCCAAGGCTGTACATGATAAGCAGAACTGAGTGACATCACTCACTCAAGACAAAAAAGACATAGTCCTAGAACGCCATGACAGCCACTGGGCAGTATATAAACAGAAATCAAGAGCAATGCTCTGCTCTGTACCCTGCATTTGGAAAGTCCCTCTGAGGATCCTGACCCTCAAAACAGATTTCTGTTAGAGACCGCCTGACCTTCAGCTAACATATTTGGCACAGGTGAGCAGCCTTTGGAAAAGAGGCTTAGAACCGTAGTTAGTAATTGAGAGTTAGAACATTGTGGGATGACCATCAGCATAATAAAACATAACTTTTGTGATACTAACTTCACATCTCTACCTTCTTATTCATGACATTACTCTTGTCCCCGACTTCCCCTCCAGCATTTACTGTCAGCTGTTTGGCGGGTCTTGGCCATGCTGACTGACTGCAATTACCACAACTCTGACCAGCAGACAAAACCACAATCTATAGAAATGGCAACAATTTATAATATCAACAAGCTCCATAATTCTGGTAATAGCCAATCTAACTAGTTTTTTAGTACAAAATAGCAAATGCCTCAAAACAAGTTATGAGTTTGTTTACCGTATTAACCTTTCAATTTTACCAGTGAGCTCACCTATGATGATCACCCATGCTGTCCCAGGGACATTTCAAGACTAGCAATTTCTAAAGTCTCAGAAGACAATGGGGGAGGGTGGGCATGGAAAACTCTGTAAAGCAGCTGGGTACCAGGAAGTATTTGGAAGGCATCTGGGCTCAAAGAAGGGTCTAGAGAATATCTTAAGGAAAAAAAAAAAAAAAATCAGAAGACAACCTGGTTACAGAAAGGTCCTTAAAAAGTACAGGTGACAACTGCCAAACTAACCTTGCATCAGGTTCTTCCCTATATTACCATGGCAAGCTGTCCCTGGGCTATTCCCAGCATCCTGCCACTTCTAACAGCTACAACAGCAGCACTATGACCTCCACCTCTCTGGGTTTCGTCATTAGCTTTAGTTGACTCCTTGACAAGCTCAATACAGGTCCTGGGACTAATTCCAGGGCTGCAAGTGATTAGGTGAGGGGACACTCCATGAACACTTCCTTCAGCTCCACGGATATCAGACAAGAGCTGGGTTGGGGCTCAGAGCCTGTAAGCTTGTGCAGTCTCACCTTCCTGAATCCCTGAGACAAGCCTCTCAATCGCCTACTAAACATGCCCTGCCTCTCCAAATCCAGCAGAAATGCCTCCACTCATCTCCTCACAAGCACAGAAATGCACCTCTAGGAAAGTTCCTCACAAGCACAGAAATGCACCTCTAGGAAAGTTCCTCATAGACACAGCCATACAACATGCTCACAGACATTTCCTCCTCCCTGGCAATGCCCTTCCAGAAATTCTTTAAACTAACTAAGAGGACTGGGGAATCCAGAGCAGGAATTATACAGGAACTGCGAACCCAAAGCCACAGCTGGCAAAGTAGACAGACACTGAGTCCTGCAAGAAGATCTCTGGTGAAAGAGAAAACATTGCCAGTAGACATACTAACATAGAAAGTTTGGGGGTGGGGGAATCTAATGAGACCCTCTCCCTAGACAAAGTACTTCAGGAAAGTAATGACTATTGAGAGAGGGAGAAGTGTTCTTTCCCAGGGGTGAGCCTCCTAGTTGGTTATCCAAAACAAAGTGATCTGCCCTGAAATCATATAAGTAGAATATATACCAAATATTTAAATACTTATGCACACAGACATATAAATATGCATGCAATAACAACAAAAGAGAAAGAACCAATTTGAGACAGAGTAATTGGGAGCCTATAGCAGGCTTTCTTTTGGGCCAGGAACCAGATCCCAAATCATGACATGGAAGCATATTATTAGTTATGAATTCTCAGTCCCAGCTTAGGCTCCTTTCTCGCTAGCTCCTACAACTTAACCCGTTTCTCTGTATCTACATTTTGTCTTGGGGCTTTTTATCTTTCCTTCTTTCTGTATTTTCTATTTTCCTGCTTCTGTTGTCTGGCTGGTTGGTGGCTGCCTAGCTTCTGATCCCAGGCATGTCCCTGTCTTTCTCCTTCCTCCTCTCCTTCTCTCTAGATTCCTCTTCCTATATTCTTTCTGCCAGACAGCCCCACCTAGCCTTCTGCGTAGATATTGGCTGTTCAGCTTTCTAGACCAATCAAGGGTCTTAGACAGGCAAGGTGACAGCTTAGTACTGAAGTGCCACCCAACACATGAGATGTCTTTTACAAAATCAACTATAAAGGAATCTTTTGCGTAACAGGATAAATGCAAAGTGCTGAACCTCTAGAAGCTACTGAAGAAACTAGGCCTCTCCAAGTTTAGCAACTTGCTTTCCATGGTTGCACCAAAAGCTGTTGAGGTTGACTACAAAGATGTATTTACACACAGCTCCCCGCTCCCACTGCTGAGAGCACTCTCAGCCCACAGAACAAAATTATTTAGAGGCCCGCCTTTGGGTCCAGGGCATCTGAGGGACTGCAAGGGACCTCACAGGAAAGGCTGCAGCTTCCCATCAAAATCGAGAGAATACCCACCACACCGGCTCCAGCACCTCACCATCTGTCACTCTCCATCAGCCCCCTCACTCACCATATCGAGGTTTCTCAGCTTCCTGCAGCAGCACTCCAAGCGCGGTACTCAAAACCACTGGCGGGGCTCCTTTTCAAGCTCAACCTGGAGCCTGGAGCCCGGAAGAGCCCTGCACCACTCTGACTGGCAGCTCTCCTCAAGGGCCTGATTGGCTAGTGAGGCCTGAGTGACGAAAGCACCTCCCATAGTGTTACAGTGCTTAAAGACACAGCACTATGGTTCCTGATCGTGCCTTCCACCGAGACAAAGACCTTTTCTAGATCTGCAAAAATGTGCATTTTAATAGCACTTGCTCCTGGCTCCAATAGCAGACACTGCTATCTTGCTGCACTCTACAGGTATTTCCCCTTCTGTCTCCTGGACACAATGTGGCTGGCTAGCAGGCACAGCTCACTATGCTATGCGGGTGAAGTGATTTCCTGAGCCACAGGTGGAAAGATACCCAGAATATTAACAATTAAAAAGAGAAGATGTTCTGTGGATTCTCGCTGAGGTCAGACGAACTGAAGGTACTTTTTACCTGCTTGTCACAGGGACTTCAGATAACTAGGAAAGAAAAGTAGGAACCAGATTACAAACAAGATAATAAATAGGTCATTTTCCCATCAGAAAACTGGATGATGGCTCCATTGCCGTAGGAGTTTTATTCCTGAAATTCAGAGCAAGCTATTGGCAAAGGAATAATAATAAAGAGTAGTCTTTGTGGAAAGTTAAATAACTGGGGAGTGATGGAGCTAGGAAGAATGTGTCTATGCTAGCACATCTTCCTCAGTTGCCGCAGACCACCCAGTGAGCTGTGACTTTGGGAGAATCAGGGTCCTAGGTACTCAGGTTGGGACAGATTCGGCCAATGACAGACACAAACACAAGAGATGCTGTTGGAACCTGCTGCAAGCTTACTTCAGTGAGAGCAATATATAATTTAGGAACTAAGATTTGACCCCATGCCAGGATATACATAGTCACATCTTATGAGTGGTTACATGTTGACAACTTATCTTGAAACTAAAAAGAACAGAGCAGGAAGTACCCTCTGAGTACCATCTGACCTCCAGACAGTGGTTAAGAGTCTCAGGCCTGACGTCAATTTTATTCTTAGAATTCTGCCAAGCTGACTCCTATGTAAAAATGTAGAAGTTTGCAAATTCTCTCAAATGGAGGAAAATTCCCCTTTAAAATCAGCATTAGCGGCCTTTAATCCCAGCACTCGGGAGGCAGAAGCAGGTGGATCTCTGTGAGTTCAAAGCCAGCCTGGTCTACAGAGAGAGTTCCAGGACAGCCTCCAAAGCAATACAGAGAAACCCTGTCTCGATAAACAAAACAAAACAAACAAACAAAAAAATCAGCATCAGCTATTTGACCCTGACTAGGCTGTCTTAGACAGGAAACATAATCAAGAATAGAAAACACACAGGGTACAAAACTGACCCTCCCTCTCCCAGCAGCTATTAATGACAATAGCTCCTACGTAAGAATAGACGTAGTGACCACCTTTCCTTTTCATGTTGTAATATGGTCTGGCTTGAGCTTGAACAGGTCTGGTGGATGCTGTCACAAGCATTGTGAGTTCGTTTGTGCACCTGCCCTGCTGTGTGTGGAAAGCACCATTTTTCATAGTCATCCACTGGCCCTGACTCCAGCTCTTTCCAACCCCTCTTCTGAAATAATCATGAATCTTAGAAAGAGTGTGATATAGATATGTCTCAAGAAAATCTTCCTCAAAGATCTGAAATTCTTCTCTTGAAAGTTAAGCACTTCTCCTAAAAATACTCTTTCCAAGATTTATTTACTCAATTTTTACATGTATGTGTGTGCTTGTGTGAGTTTTGTGTATCATGTTTGTGCAGGTGCCCACAGAGGCCATAAAAGGACATCAGATTCCATGGAGCTGGAATTTAAAGGAGTTGTGAGCCACCTGATATGGGTGCAGGAAAGAGAACCTGGGTCCTATGCAAGAAAACAAGTGCTCTTGACTGGTGAACCAACTATCCAGAACATCACTTCCATATCATTTTACTTTCCTCAATGAAAGTTTTTCTTGGAAATTATTTCCATTTTACTAACAAAAAATCTGGGGGAAAGGGCAGTATGGTAACTTGCCTCTAGTCACACAACTAGGAAGTAACTAGATTCTACCATTATTTTTAGTAACACATAAATCCTGGGCATTAAGGATCTCTGTTTTATATGAACACTGCCAAGAATGAATGTTTCTAGGTTAAAATATCTTTAATGTTATTTCATTTCATCCAACACAGAATAATAGGTAAGGCTGAAGTTTTTATGTTTATCTCATGAATAAGAACTTATGTTCAGCACCTTGCTAAACAAGAGATGGCTTTTTGAAAATGTCCTGCTGTGTCTGGGACACACTGTTTTGTAGGTATCAACTGCCTCAAACTCTTCTCTATCTCCAACTCTTCTAAAATTATCCCTGATATTGCAAAGGGTGTGTGATATAGACGCCTCAAGAACATTTTCCTCAAGCAATTTAAATTTAAAAGCTCTCAGCCCTTTAATGTCATCTCTAGCTACCTAGTATTGAACCAAAAATTTGAAGACTAAAGGCTCCCTCAAAGAAAGTGTTGTTTTGTTTTGTTTTTGCCATTTCCGATGTTATCTACAAGAAGATCAGGTGTGTTCTGAAACTCCTAGCAACACAACACAGCAGTTGGAAATGTATCTCCTTGACTTAGGGCCAAGTGCATCTATGAGAAGGAAAAATCATACATTACTGACACTGAACTAAAGTAATTGTAGCTGAGCAAGATGTATAACACAAAATGGGACAAAATTTGAGGTAGTTAATTAGTCCACAGTGAGAGGTCCTTGTTGCATCTTGGCTTGCTGGATAGTATAGTACCCAGGGTGTGATTGCCTGGGAGTAAAGATTTTTTTTTTTAAGTAAGAATTTGGGTACTAAAGGAAACATGGAATCTTTATTCAAATTGGCTTACACTATAGGGTCTAATTAATTCTTTTCTCTTCCCCTTTTTCTGTTCCTCCACTTATGATTCAATTTGGGACACAAAAGAAATTTTCTCTGTCACCAGACAGCCACACTTAGTCTGTGTCTGCCCCAGGTGGTTGGCTTATTTCTGTCCTTATTTGATGTAATTTCTTTTCCCTAACCCTCAAAATTATACTTTTCTTCAAAATCCCTAAAAACAAAAAAATCTTCCCTTTTGTTATCTGCATTCTTCATCAATTTATTATACAATGGAGTGGTCTATTGATGAAAATGAATATTTTTTAATTATTGAACAATTTTTCTTGTTAAAAGAAAGGGGCTACAGTGCTCTAGAACACTTAGCAGAAGTCTCCTTTTACAAGGTGCTTGCTGACAAGATATTTTCTTTCCAAAGACATGCACAGCTGTTAATTACCTCACCAAACACACCACAAACCTAGCATGGTGGCAAATGCATATATTCTCAGCAATTGGGAAGATGTAACAAATCTTGAATTCAGCCTTTTCTTAAAAAACACAAAACTCAACCACTACCAACAACAAACTGATATAATTTAGAAGTTACTTTTACTTTTATTGTTCTCTTCCAGAAGAAAATTTTGCTTTTATCTGGTGTGTGTGTGTTTCACATAAGCCAAGAGAAAGGACCCTGAGGCCAAGTCATCTATTTTTCTAGGAGGGCACAAAACTTTAGAAATAGAGAGGAAGTATGTTTAAGGGAAATGTTCTAAGGCTATATCCCTAGATACAACATTAAGAAGAAAATAAAACTATGATGTTTCAGATCAGCACGAATTTAATTAATACTTAGGGATGAGCAGACATCCACAGAAAGGCACACAAATTCTTTGAGCATGAAGTTAGAATTTTTCCTTCTTCTGGTAGCTTTGACCTTTTAACAGCATTGAGGAATACCTCTGCCCCCCCCCCCCCCACTGAAGATGGCCATTCATATGTCTTCTGTCTTTGCTGGTGTCAAAGTTTAAGAGAAAATCAGGTCTTTGTTCAGATTGCCCATATCCATACCATGTGAGTAGCATCCACAAAGGAGAGAAAGCTGCTTGTGCAGAAATGCAGTTTCGTGGAAGTCTGTCTCTCTGCATCCATTTACACCAGCCTCAGATTACACTGTTCAATCCTCTCTGGATCACGTTGATAGGTTTTCATATGTTAAACCATCCCTGCATTCCAGGGATGAAACCTACTTGGTCATGGTGGATGATTTCTCTGATGTATTCCTGAATTCAGTTTGCCAGTATTTTATTGAGTATTTTTGCATCGATGTTCATCAGGGATATTGGTCTGTAGTTTTCTTTCTTAGGATGCATTCTGTCTTCGTATCCATTCTGTTAGCCAGTGTCTTTTTATAGGTGATTTAAGACCATTAATGTTGAGGGTGAGTAAGGACCATTGATTGTTGATGCTTGTTTAGGCTTGTTGTTGGCAGTGGTATTATGAATATATTAGTTCTGCTTTACACTAGGTTTCTGGTGTAGTTGGATTATCGGTTGCCTACATTTTTGTGGGCATAATTACCTTCCTTGGGTTGGAGTTTTCCTTACAATACTTTCTGTAGGGCTGGATTTGTAGATAAGTATTAGGAAAATCTGGTTTTGTCATTAAATATCTTGTTTTCTCCATCTATAGTGATTGAGAGTTTTGCTGGGTACAGTAGCCTGGGCTGGCATCCTTGGACTCTTAGTACTTGTAGAACATCTATCCAGGACCTTCTGGCCTCGAGAGTTTCCATGGAGAAGTCAGGTGTAATTTTGATAGGTCTGCCTTTATATGTTACCTGTCCTTTTTCCTTTGCTGCTCTTAATGTTCTTTCTTTATTCTGTATGCTAGGTGTATTGATTATTATATGTCGAGGGGTCTTTTTTCTTTGGTCCAGCCTATTTGGGGTTCAGTATGCTTCTTGTACTTTTCATGGGCATGTCTTTCTTCAGATTTGGAAAGTTTTCCTTGATGATTTTGTTGAATATGTTTTCGGCACCTTTGAGCTGGGCTTCCTCACCTTCTTCTATACCTATTATTCTTAGGTTTGGCCTTTTCACGGTGTCCCACATTTCCTGGATGTTTTATGTT